ATTTTAGTCTATCAATCTATCCGCAACTCTGCGATTTTTCGTGTAAACTCTAAAACGGTTGGACTGCTTATGACGGTATTTTTAATGGAACACAGCTGGTGTTTGCAGGAGTAACTTAGGTGTTTAAACTCCACTTTAATAGAGTTCCGAGTCACAGGTAGAATCAAATAAACATCGTTATACAGCAGGTCCACCTAACATGAAAATTATGATTGAAACAAAAATGAGTTGCCAATTCAAGTCTAGATAGGACATTGCACAAGGTCGTTGTAATTATAAAATAAATGAACGTTACAAAACAATCGTCTCAAGACAGATGAATAATTTGTTATGATTTATTTAACAGCTTATACTTTTAATCTATGTTAATATCATCCTTGAACTTTTATGCATTTTAAATCTGCAATAAACTATATCAAATAGCAATATTAACGACCCATTAGAAATCGTATTATTAAATGTTATGTTAACGATATAAAAAAGTATCACGCTGTGTTTCTATTACTGTCAAAAAGAATGACAGTACTGAATACAGAAATTATATCGTTTATATAAAATGTATTCAAATATATACAAGTTGCTTTTAAAAATCGTTGTGCTAATCTCTCTAAAATCTAATTTATTTATAATAAAAGCAATATTTAACTGTAGTAATGTTAATTTTAGGCAAAATATTGCGTCAAAAAAGTTGCGTCAAACTTTTCGAAGCGGCTCATCAAATTATTTTCACACTCAATTTACTTTTAGAGCAAATACAAATTTGGAAGCGTTAATTTATAACGCTAAGTGGTAATTAAAATATAAAATATTAAGCTTAAATAATAGGGAGAAAGACTGCCGTTTGCTATAATAGATGGCGTTATGGTCGAATGCTGAAGTACAATTTCCGTCTTTCACTCAAAACACTCAAAAATAACTGTAGTCAAACAAAGATGTCTAGCCCATTAATGGAGTATTACAGAAGATTCCATTTACTTTATAACTACGTAGTGATTCATTAGAGTTAGGTTAAATTTCAGAGGAGTTCAATTCAAATTACTCAAGAAACACTATTTTAAACTGATTAAATGTAGCTAGGAAACCGGCAATACGAGAAGCGCTGTTATCGATTGATTCTGTCTTAAAACTTACATTGAAATTGAAAATGGTAAACTAATGCATTAAAATGGGCTTCACTGGCCGAAGATCTAGGTTAGGTCTAGGCGAGTAGGACGTCCGTAGTAGTGGTCCTATTCGAAGTGATTATTTCTATTTTAGATTTTTCGATTCTCTATGAGTATAAACCAGAAAGTATTAAAATTGAATGTGGATGGGTACAAAGGTAGAAGACCGAAGAAAGTATGGATGGATTGTGTGAAAGAGGACATGCTTAAGAAAGGAGTGGATTTAGATATGATAGCTGATAGAGATGTATGGAAGAGCACATAGTATGCCGACCCTCCGTAAGGGATAAGGGCAAGTTGATGATGATGAGGCAGCCGCTCGCCTTCATCTCCCCCGTTCTATTCCTACTCAAGAAGACGCAGTTGTCTAAAGTGTTGCATGCATTTGACAATTTTTCATTAGAATTTACTTTTAAAAAATACTTTTCTTTACATTCTACATTTTTTCCATGCTATTTTTATCTAGTTGGTCAGATCCTATTAATCTTTTCGACATCAGCATTAACTATATGCGTCTTTAATTAATTTGCCAAATCTTAATATTTGTGCCTTAAAAAGTGTAACATTCGTGATAACGATTAACATTTTCATTAAAAACTTAATTTCTTATGCAGTTTCTGATTATCTATTAATACACGTCAACGGATATGTTTTTTAATGTTATTTATTGGGATTTTACAGCATCAATTATACTTTATTCAATCGTAAGAAAGTAATTTAAAATAAAATCCTAATTTTATCTAGACTATTATAATAAAGCGTAAACACACACTTCTGTAGCCTAAGATATCAGCAATTACAGCATATTTTTGAATAATCCTTTTTTTAATAAAAACCCCTATACTTACGTCACGCTTTAAGGTATATATTTTTACGCCATTAAACTTAGGGGGTAAATATTTTGGATAAAACCCCTAATGTGGGAAAGAGACCAAAGTTGCTGCCAACATCAAGGAAACAAGATTACCAAGCTTTGTCATGTCAGTTTGACATTTGCATTTGATAAATTGACAAATGTAAATAATAAAATAAAATTTTCATAATTTCATGCGGATGAAGCCGCATGGGAACACCTAGTGTTTAATATTAAATGAATCTAGATAACATACGAGTATGTTATCACTAAAATTAAATGTTTTAAAACATTTTTAACTTAAATATGATGACTTGTAACATTAACATAAAAATTGAATAATAAATAAATCGTTTAGTATTTTTCAATTGGTACGAATCAAACGTTGGTAGCTTACGGCTAACTTAGCGGACATTTTTGCATACACATATGTACATGAGTGCTGGATTTATACGATTAGTACAACACGACACGACACGACACGGTATTTGCGAGGTTTCAGCATCCGTCACGATAGACCGACTTATCCGATCTAAATAGATCACGCCTCACGAAAGCCTTGCATCAACACGCAAATCCAAAGGCCGTTTTTACCATCATACTAATGTTTTCTGATCAAATCATACCAAATACGAGTATAGTTCAATTTAAAAACATACTGGAATAAAGAATTCACGGTAAACTAAAATTAATGTTCAATCATATCTTACTTCATGGCAATATTATAAATGCGAAAGTTTCGATGGATATATGGATGTTTGTAAGAGTTTGTAGTCTAAACGGCTGAACGGATTTCGATTAAATTTGGTGTAGAGAATAGTCTGGAAGAGCACACAGGCTACTACTTTTATTTTTTTTATTCCACGAGGACAATTTATTAAATTTTTTTATTCAACGATACAGGGACCTTTGAGATATAAAAATCTACATAAAAATATTTAACTATATTGCTTTACATTATGTTACATAATGTTTGTTCAATGAAAGGTCAGAGTGCAGAAAAACATGATCGACACGCGAGCTAATCTGTAATTTTATGTAAATATTTTTGTAAGCCAAATTTATATTTTATCTCCCATCCGTTACGGATTTAGGAAAATTCCATTTACTAATTCCGAAAATTTTAGATATGCGTTTTAATCTTTTTTAATTTTTTACTCAAAACTTAAAAGCTCAAAAACCTTATTACAAATAAATATGCTAAGAACAACAATAAAATCAAATGTTCTTAGTGTTTTTCAACAAATTAAACACAAAATTCTTGTGCATCAACTCTTTAATGTTACGTTAAAACGTCAGTCCGGGGCGCGTTGATCACGTCACTAGGGGGCGTCTCCTTCGCTCATTTAATTCTTGTTAGTCTAAAGTTTTAATTCGCACTACTTATAGGTTCCGAGCTCCTTGACATCGACGTGAAATCCTTTGTTAAGGACTGAACTCTTTTCAAGTACGCTTAGGTCGGCTAAGCCTCAACTGCGCCGTGCAAGCTCCGCGCCCGCTCTCGCTTCCGCCCTCGCACCCGCTTAAGATCCTAATTGATATTTTATGTTACAGTAATGAACGCTGCGCTTAACCTCGTACTTGAGTAAGCTACGCTAAGAAAGCAGTCACTTCTAATAGTGTAGCATCCGATGCAAGTTTTTAAATAAAAAAACATATTAGTTTTTAGTTGCTGGAAGATTATTGTCAAAAAATTTAGCTCTGTTTTAAAAAGAAACAAAAACAGTTTTATCCCTTTACTCTACTGGAATTTAGAATCGTAATATTTCATAGAATTAATACAAGAAATTAATAAAGTCCGCCTTTATAGTAGCAGGATTTAATTGACCGGAGTGGCGGGCGAGCGCACACCGCCAAATCTCGTCTAATCTATGCTTAACTGTAGACTATAGGTGTTAACCCTGAAACTACCCGAACCACCCTCGAAAACGCCCAACGAAGAAAACTATCCAAACTTACTTTAAACGATTATACTCGTTCGAAAATTCCGGTTATTTTGTACGTTAAGCCAGTAGGGCCGCAGAGTAGCGTGCCAGTATTATTAAACGATTATTGTGCCGCAAAATTTATAATTTTGAATACGGTGAGCCGGTATTCTGTTGAACCCGCTACCCGGATAGTATTATGTAAATTCAATAACAGCGAGTGGAACCGAAAGCTTTGTATTGTTTACAATTGATAGCTTATAACAATAATATCACCATACTATAGATAGTTATCGTAATTATTGAAATGAAAATTCGCCAGCGTAGTAAGTAGATAGGCTTTAATTTTTTATACGATAAGCCTAGTATTTGTCGTTTTAATATAACCTAAGTATTCAGAAAAGTATTACTAAACTACAAAACAATTACTCAAATTATTTATTAAAAAAAGACAAACATTAATTGCAACTGCTTTTAAAATAGGTATATAATTAAGAAAAGACTAAAAAATTCTGGCATCGCTTTGCTCATCAAAATAAAAAAAAGTATAGGAAAATGGCGTGAACTATTTAATATCGGCCTAAAGAAGCGTCTACAAAGAAGGTCGGTAAAAGCGTGGACCGGTACAAAGCAGGCTCTGGCCGCCAGACATGGAACAAGGATTAATTATTATTTTAAACATTTCACTCGGTTTTTTGCCGCGTCCGCGAGCAAGTCAAAAGCATTGCTTTCTCGCTTGAAAAGTTGCTAAATAATTAAGAAGCTTTCTTAACGACAGCGTTTCGACGTTCTACGTTAAGTAGCACTTTTATTTTAAAAGCGGACAAGAAGTTTTTCATAATGGTCTTTACATTCTTCCCGGTCCATTTGGTAGATGCTTCTCAAAGTATTTCTATTGAAAACAAAATATAACTGATTCAACGCTCAGTTATCAAATTACATTGATATTTTTAAATATCTGTTCGTCTACAAAAGTACTGAAGTGTTAACTGTACATTGTAATATTAAGGCATGATTACAAGAGGCTCGAATCAACTATATTATTAATTTTTTATTCAGGTAAAACATTACCGGTGCACTGCGTGGTGGAAGCGGTATCGTCATTGGAGGAGGGAACGTGGCGCCGCCGCGCAATTGTGGAGACGGACAGCTACGTCATCATCCCCGCCGCCACCGCCTTCCACGAGCTCGTGCCCGCTGCCATGATGAGGCTAGGATATCCGCATGAACTCGCCGCCTCCGCTAAAGGTACGTTAATATAGGTTTTATATAAAAGGAAAGAAAATAAATATGCATGTAACAAATCAGCTGTTGTCTTACATGGGTTAAGATTTAGAAGATCAGAACTGGAAATTAATGGTAAAGAGACGAAAATTAGAGCATTTCATTCAACAGACAAAATGTAAAAGCGCTTTTCCTACATACGTCTATCTTCTTTTAAAGTCTTAGTAGCCAAAGATGTAAAGGTGTGTTGATAGTCGGTGGATACATATATACATTGAATAAAGAATTGCCTAGAATTTCGTATTAAGATAAGTTTTATCTCATTCATAACCTTTGGATGATTGCGTTCGAGTGCATTCTTATCAAAAAAAATGACATCGTGCGTAATTATGTAGAATGCAAATGACTGGCACTTACTGTGTTCCAAAACATTTTTGTTTCTTTATCTGTAATCAGTCTTTAAATCTATAAACAAATGTGAGGAACAATTAATTTTTCAGAATGTTTTCTCCATTGAGAAACATCTACTTTCAGAGAAAACCCTAATGGATCTTATTTGTGTGTGTGGCCCGATTTGGGTAAGACTGCAACCAAGGGATTGAGGTGGTCTGCAATTCTGATTTATAGCGCTACAAAACAATAGTATTCCAAAACTAATTATAGCATTTTCATCTGTTGAAGTGTAGTGTCATTCGATTTATAATACTTATAAGTTTATTGGTTGTTTTTTAGACACGCCATTACATTGTTCTTTCATTGTTTTAGGTTCAGTGGTGATAAACAACTGGAAGCCGCTTTCCTTCGAGAAGATCTCTGATGGTCCTCTGGTGACTGTCGGCGAAGTGTTAGGCGAGTTGACAACGGTCGCCACGCTGCGGATCCAACTCCTTAGGCCAAGGCTCACACCACTCCAGGACATCAAAGATAAACTCCTGAGGCTGCTGCTGGTGCAAAGCAGGCCTTTGTTGATTTCCACAGGATGCCCATTAGATGAGGTACTTTTATTTAATATTGTCATTTGTAAAAGACATTACCTGTCTTTATATTATACGTCCTTGTTGTTGCATTGATCAGCATTATTTATAATAGAAGAAAGGGTTATCTAGCCAATTTCTTAGTTCTTAGTATACCTGATGTTAAATTTTCTATTTAATTATTCCAGTAAACACTTGATGTCGTTGTTAAATATGCGTATTTATATACATAGGTATATTGAATATCTTACTATGTCAGTTATTAGGGAAATTAGATTACAAATAATTGGTTCATCTTGTACGTGGGCGTTGACCAGCTATAAATATTGCAGCTTAACAAGCTTATAATTATTATATGTGCAACTAAATACTTAATATGAAGCCATACATTTTGTATTTAAACTCTTTAATCTTTAATGATTACTTGCAATGAGATCTTTGGGATTTATTAACAACTAACTTTCGCCCGCGACCTCGTCCACGTGGAATAAAAAAAAGTAAAAGTGAGTATGTGTCCTCCCGACTATCCTCTACATCTATAACAAAATTCGTCGAAATCCGTTCAGCAATTTAGGCTACAAACTCTAATAAACAAACATCCATACATGTAAACCTTTACATTTACAATATTAGTATGATATTTGACGTAACGTTAATAAGTTGATAAAATTTGAATTGTAAACTAATAGCATACAAAACTTTTGTTTAACACATCCATTTGGATTTAAAATATTAAACTACGTTATTAAAATAATATTTATACAATTACACTTCAATATTTCTACAAAATAAAATACTTCAGTCAAATCCAGTTTTTGACAATACTTGTAATTAAAATAGAACTAGATAACTGTTAGTAAAATTATCCTAAGGTACTGCACGAGTTTCTATAAGCGTCTGTCATTTCAATATTTGTCAAAGGGAGTTCGTGTATTAAAACCGTACAATTTGATGTCGGGCGACAGCAGTTCGCTACACTGAGCTAAACCGCCGTTCACAATATACCCACGACGATGTAATGTTCTTTAATGCTTGATTGTTGTAACCCCGGCCGCTCCCCTCGTACTAAACCCAACCCCCCACCTTATTATCGTCGAACTTATTGTTTCCCATAAGCTCGCAGCTCATTGAAACAGAACGCTCATAATTTTTTTGAGTGTCGAGTGCTATTGAAATTTTGTATAGCAATTAGGTATGTTATTTTAGAACCTCTTTAAGTAATCTTTTAAACGTTATTTTATATTTTATGTATTTGAAATACGATTTCTTTAGACTAAACACTTATGAGTAGTTTTTTAGTTTCTAAATACTTATATTAAAGCAATTGAAATACTTGTTTCTTATTTTTCTGTTAGTAACTAAAACTTTATATTTAAGTTAAACAAAGGCTACTCATTTTTGTTTTTTTTTTTAATTTCACGTAAACGGAGTAGCGTGCGAAAGCTAGTATTGTTATAAGACGTTAAAATATTATCCAAATAATTAACAAACGAACGATTAAGACCCCTTGACATCCCATTAACATGGAATCTTTTGAATAAATTCATCTTTAAAGCGTTCGGCGAAACGTCAAATTAATGAGAACATCTCACAACAAGGTCGGATTTGAAGAACTCGCGATGGAGACAGATTATCAAACTCTCACTTAAGTAGCTGTGCTCGTGTATTTCGTAGGTCGTTATAATTTGCGAGGTTACGCTTAAGTCCCTACTAATAAGGATCATCAGTTAGGGAAGAATTAGGAGTGGAATTTGTTTTGTTGTTCGCGCCACGCTTCGACACAGTGTCACACATTGCTACACAGATTTGTTCTTTTGTACACGATTATAATCTTCGATTTATTTTAAGAAGTAGTTGCAACTTAGTTTACGCAATTGTGATTGACTAACTATATTATCTTTCATAGTTCACAATATACATTTTAATGTATTTTCTGTAGTTTCTCTATCCGTTAAGTGTATAAGGCTTTTTGTTTGAGTTGTGGAATTCAAATGCCTTCGACAGACAGGCACAAATTCGGCGAGGCGATGAACACCTGCCTCATACGCGAGATCTCCATACATAATAAATTTAATTGAATCTCAGACTCATCCGCGCCCCGCGCCTTATTATAATTTCCTAAATATACACCTTGTAGCGAACGGGTTAGAGCGAAGGGCCCTCGTCTTGCCGACTACGAGAGTGAAAGAGGGTTAAAAGGAGTTTTAGATGTACCGACGCTTTTGATCTTATTAATACCATAAAATAATGCTTTATAATCTTATTAAAGGCGAGGTTAGCGCTCGTGCGCCCTCCCGTGGCTTTAACGCCAGAACGCAAACGCCCGGATTTCTGTTTCGAGTTTTGCCAAATATCCGAAACACGTGTAAATGGGGCTTTTACATTTAATTAATATTTTATAGGTTTACTATAGATTTCCTACATTGAGTAAAATCAATTTGTACTCTGTAAATTTGTATCAATGACGTTAATTATTAGAGAAAACATTAAGAAGCATTCCTGACTTTTAGACTCACAACACGTAGGTTAGACGGTTCTAGTTTCCAGTTGCATGTACATTATTCTCTATTACTGAAAGATAATATACAAAGGGTTAAGTTATTTATGAATTTATGAACAAAGGTAAAAGTCAAAGGAAGTTTGTAGCAAATGAACCGAACCAACTTCAGACCGGAGAAGATAATCAAACACTTCCAAGTCAAAAGTTTGGAGCTAAACGTCAGATGAACGATGCTGGCGTTAGGGTAATTTATTATGCCAATTGGAGCTTGTGAAATGTTCCTTTAAACTTCTAAATATCAAAGTAAATATTGTGGACAAAAGTGTCATAAGAATTATTACAATTTATTAAACATTAATTCCATCGAGCGAGCGTAAAGTAGCGTATGTACACACGACAAGAACAATATCTGATAACGGTAAGCCTATTGTATTCAAAGTCGTCCTTTCCAGTGCCGAGAATGATTTCAATCACACACCGAATTACGTACTTAGGCGGATTACACGTGACAAAGTTATCAGGCAGAGGCGCCAGCTCTTGTAAATCTTGCTCGCGGCTGAAGGAGACAATATCTCAGAACAAATATGACCGCACTATTTAAAAACATAAAACAAAGAACGGATTAACGTATCACTCCGGCTGGGCGCTAACGCCTCGCGCTTGACATGATTTATAGGCACAATCTGGATGTGTTACGCGCACAATTATTTACTCGAGTTTGATTTGGCAACGCGCAACGCAAACTGGAGGGAGTGACAGCTCGCTTGACGACGTAATCGCTGCCATTGTAGTGTTTAATCTAGCGATACAAACAGATCTTACTTGCATAACCACCGAGCTAAACAAACACGACGCCGGCGCATAATCTGACAACTTCTTTTATGATTGACTACTCGCTGATTAATATCACATCAAACAAGCACCTTGTCACTTAATGCTGATTAAATAATTGTGAAATTCATAGCTATCACAACAGAGTCGTCTCTTAGCAAATGTTTATCTCGAGCGCGGAGATGCCAGGGATGTTTTCTAAACGAGTTACCGATGCGATACCTTTTAGTTGAACTACTTAGGCCGCGGCCGCTGCCGGTACTTTGTCGAAGGTGCAATGGGAGGGCGCTAATTGTTAAGACGCCCTTCCCGCTCATTGTTTTAGAGCAGGCCATGATTGAAGTTTCGGCGGCGCGGGGCAGGAGTGATGCGCACTAACCACCGAGTAAACAGCCCGAGGCGTCAGTACCGCGATCGCTCGGCATGACACATACATTAACAGCCGGCCCAATATTTTCATAATCTAATGGCGATGTTCTGTGAAACAATGCTCGCTGTGTATTCAAACAATTACCTCTGTATCTTTTGCTGGTTAGACTGGCCTCCTTAAAACTGTCTAAAAATGTTTGCGGTTACCTTTTGTTTATATTTGCTCTTCAATCTAATGGCGGTCGAAGGTTTTAAAAGTTGTTTTCTGTTGCAGGTCACATTAGCTCAGATTTGTAGAGGGCAAGATCGAACGCCGGGGCCTCACAATTTCCACGAGCCATCTGAGGACATGCGAAGAAAGTTCGAATCTTGGTGGAGCGCCCAAGTTTCGCCACGGCCGCCGCCTTTTAGTCCACGACATTATTCATCACCGGTGCCCAAAAATCGTTCGCCTACTCTGACCGCTATACCAGATCATTTGCATCCGGCGCTACAGACGGTCCAGAATCAATATCCAACACAGAAAACTAGGATGAGGACCAGCTTCGACCCTGAACTGGAATTGCCGAAGTTGCAACGTTGGTTTTCTGAAAATCAGCACCCAAGCCGGCAACAGATACAACAATATGTAAGAGAATTAAACAACTTAGAATCAAGACGAGGTCGCAAACCTTTAGATGTGAATAATGTGGTGTATTGGTTTAAAAATGCAAGAGCTGCACAAAAACGTGCTGAACTACGCAACATTGGAGGTATTGGTTGTCATCTCGGTGTAAATGGCTTCAATAGTAGGAGTCATAGTCCATCCAATGGATCATTGATGGCGAGTAATGACAATTATGCGATGCAAGATCGCAATTCAATGAAGAGTCCTATGCAAATGTCGGGCAGTCCCGGCAGATATCCGATGTCTATAATGTCTGAGGACAATTTATCGAATGCGGGATCCGATTTAGAAGACGACGGAGGGGATTTGAATCCAGATGATAGGCCTGAAAGTCCTGATGCTCCCCTTTCTCTTATAACTACAAAGAAGAATAATAATGACGAAGAGATGTCAAAACAATCACCGAAGCCTCCAGATATTATAAAGGTAATTAGGCCATTTTTTTGTACGATTTGCTAAAGTTTATAAAAACAATTTAGTTAAGCACCCAATTCTCTATTTTAATTTGGTGACAAAAACTAGTAGGTTAAGTTAAATAAATTTTATTTCCCGCAAACAGTGCTAAATTCTCTTACATGCCTTGTAAATAAAAAAGCAGATATCTAAATAATTTTATTTTTCAGGTCCATGATATCAAACAAGAGCTGCGTGACTTGGCCAGATCTGATCAAACGAATTCACCTCAACAATCACCTGACAAGAACAGCGACAGCTCTCACAATAACAATAACAACGTTAAAGAAGAAAACGGTATCACTGACGAGCAAGACGTGGCTTCCGATGATGACGTTGTTCAAGAGCGACACTATCGTCCATCAACACCGCACCTTGATCGCTTACCCTTCCCTATGGTACCAAATCATCCGATGTTTGGTCATGGTATTATGTATATGAGCCAGTACATGAGTGGTTTCCCTGGCGTCGGTCCAGTACCCGGTGAAGGCGCAAGCGGCTTGAATCTCGCTCTCGCCGGTGCTTCTGACGAAAGACGCAAACGTAACCGCACTTTTATAGACCCTGTCTCCGAAGTCCCGGTTCTCGAACAATGGTTTTCAATGAACACCCATCCATCACACAATCTCATATTAAAATACACAGAAGAACTGAATAGGATGCCGTACAGGCAGAAATTTCCTCGACTGGAATCAAAGAATGTGCAGTTTTGGTTCAAAAATCGACGAGCTAAATGCAAGAGGCTTAAGATGTCGCTGTACGAACCGTCGTCCCCAAGCCACTACTCGCATCCCGGTCATCATGCTATCGCCGAACGAAAGATGGTGTGAACTTTTAGTAATATTCGCTGTGACTATTTGAACCGCTAGTGGAAACATCTTAACAGTAGTAGTATTTCAGAACGATAAAACGTTTACATTTTTCAGAGTAACGTAGAATAGGAGCCATTGAGGTTGTATGCGTCTATTCTATCAACTATTAATATGCCATAGATTTTTAAGTGGAACTATAGTCATAATTATGAATCAAATATGACGCAACCGTTTATCATACAGCTTTTCGCTTTAGGATCTTTGAAAAGTTTTAACACACGACGTTCTGTAGTTTAGCTTATATTTGGGATAACATGTTAATGGCACAAAACGCCTACAAGTAAATTTCATGAGTGATCTTGGAGTTGTATTAACGCTTGTGATTAGAATCACATGATTTCGTTTCTAATTTCAGCGTGTATTACGAAAGACTGAATTCGAATCGTTTATGGTGTGTAGTGCCATGTTAGTATTAAATGCGTCAGTTCCACTGTACAGATCGTATTATTAAATTCTTTATATACCGTAATAATTCAATTATAAACTTGGAAGTGAATCGATGTAAATAATTAGTTGGAAAGATTTTAAATTTCAAATTGCTTAGACGAACGAAATATCGCTGCTTATCTTTCTGAACTTCTGTAGCACGATCTTTTCGTATTTAAAACATCTATAAATGAATCTCAGCTGAAAAATACTTTCGGTTTGTAAATAAATAATTTAGTATTAGATTTATTTATTAAATATTACATTAGTGTTATACAAAATTGTTAGCTAATACTCGTATGAATGGATTCTCACCAAACGTTCCATTTCTATTATTCGTAGTGTAATTTAGAAACCGTATCTGTAGAGTAAACTTTTAGAACGGTATTAAATGTTATAATATGTAATTAATGAGTCATTTATCATAGATATACGTAATGTTAAATTGCACATAAAGTAGAGCAAATATTGTAGAGTAAAATTATTTCAACTACGTCATTTAAGACTAAAGCTTGGAAAACTTCGATGTTAATAGACTCATCTTGAGATAATTTTAATATCTCAGGTCACATGTTACGCACATTCCTTTATTCGTAATATATTTTAATACTTCCTCAATCCAAAGATTGGTTAGTGTTATAGAATTTTATCTTTATAATTATTTTGATTACCAAAATTGCGTAGTTCCCATATCAAAGATATCGTCTCAATGTTTAATAGATTTTAATGTTTTATTTCTGTTAGGGATACTTGTATTGAAAAGTTATCTCGACAAATATCAATTGTAAAATGCATCTTTATATTAATGTTTGTATGAAAATGTTGGTAATGCAATAATGTTTTCTATGTTTATTATTTAAGTGGTAATGTGTATTTGTTCCTATTCATTTATCTTTAAAAATTATTGGAATTTTATTGTATTACATTAATTTATTTTGGTAGTATCGGTTAATCTATTTGCTGGTTTAAACGGATAATTTTAAGATTTTCATCAATGATACAAATACAATGTATTTCCATTGTTTTGCATATATCAATATTTTTAACACATGCATGAATTTTAGATACGTAAACAGCAATGGAGGATACACTATGTCTAAATGTCGCACGGGGCGACGCCTCACAAGATGGTCATGTAACAGTATTTACGCATTTAATATTCGAGGCTGTAACACATTTAACTTGGAATATTGTTTTGTAGTTTTAGAATTACCACAGACGATAGGCCCGATCTCACATCTCTATAAAATGGTAACCAATTAGACACACGAGAACAGTAGATTGTCACATTTTAACGCGATGAAATGTACAGTCAGCTTTACAAATGTGTACATGTTTATGCAGCTAACTGTACTGATAGTTTCTATAGGTGTGAAAAAGGGCCTATTTTATTGTGAATTGTATCGTTCATCGCTAGATATTCCCCATACATTGTTTTGTTATCTCCATGTTATGCTTGTTTTGTGAAGCTGTGATGATATTTCCAAATAATGTAAATATTTTTATTAATTGTTTAATTAAGGGTTTCTATTGTAATTCGTCACTAGGCTCTACGAACAATTAAGCATTAATTTGCTTAGATAATGGAAAATAATTGGCTAAATGTTTATTCCATTCAATTATAAACGAAAAATTAAATGAATATTATCTACAATTCAAATTGGCTTTCCTTTTAGTTTTAAATTACCTTATCCATTTTTACCAGCTGATTAACTAGGCTAGGTCTAGGCGGAGGCTAGTATTAATAATCAAATTAGTTTTTTTTAATCTATATAACATTTCTAGAATCTGTTGCCTCTTACTAGCGACGCCTATTAATCTAAGTATAAATATATCTACCAAAGCTTATCTTTAAATTATCAGAGAATAGAATCCAGACTTAAAATATACTATTAAATCTGTGTCTACAAAGACGAAAATGCAATATAGATACAGGATAAGGTCTAGAACATAGTAAAGAGAGGAAGCGACTGACGGGCGTCGGTGTGGACCCTAATCACCTGTCAAAATGCAAGTCTTCACAAACGAGATACCAAATATCTGCAGACGTCTTTGTGACTTCGATCTTCACTAGCATTTAATGCTAAGAGATGTTTCTGCGACGGAAATACAAACTACGAAGATAAATCAATGTTGCCTACTGTTTTTTTAATTAAACTACGTCCTTTAAATAGTTAGCGACGATATATTACTACATGAATGTTAAAAAACTCAGTTTTTATTTTACTGATGTAATAAAATGGACTGATTTTAAATTATTTCACTATTAAAAACTACAGTATCACTGAGTAACAAACGCTACATTTATCATTAGAATGAAAAATAATTAAGGCAAGATAAAAAGGCATGAAAACCATCTTTATATGTGATCCTTTAATTCTTAATCTATACAAATATTAAAAAAAGGAAAGATTTTTATTTTTGTATGTATTGAAATAACTCAAAAACTACTGGACCGATTTTAAAAATTCTTTCACCATTAGAAAGCTACTTTATTATTTATAACATAGGCTATATTTTTAAATTCAAGTAGGCGAAGTCGCGAGGAAAAGCTAGTAAGTGATAAACACGTAATTAAAAAAAAACACATATCAAAAAAACCTATTGCTTATTCATGTTAATTGATTTCATTTATTCTATCATGAATTAATAAAAAACGCAAACGTTTGTCCATAAATACTTGATACAATGAATAGATGTATCATCGCAAATATAAAAGAATGCAATGAAGACAAAGGTACAAAAACGTTTGAGAACGATATACCTAATATGGATTAAGCCAATTAAAGAGAGATTTGTGCTTCGCTTCGCAGAACATTTTGTTTGATTCGAGAAGACTTGCCTGCGATTCTTATCCCGATGTCTGCTCCTCAGTGTCATTTCGCTAATTATAATGTTATTAAAAATAATGCGAAACGTTTTAATTAATACGTAAGCTTAATTTTTTTAACTTAAGTACTTAACTAAAAAAAAAACTAAAGTTTTTGATGATGATCAATACATATAATTACTGGAAGCATATTTTATTTAAGACTGTAAATATAATATTTTTTATTTGTCATATGTTTTTAATAAAAAAGTGACTTATTGTAAGTCGAAATAAGAATCAATTTTACTTAGTATTCGAATTTGTTTCCGAAATCTTTGCTCAGTGTAAATTAACAGGCGCATTAAAAAGATATTCCATACTGCGGTTATTGCTTTCGTTTTTAACATCATTACGATGTTACAAATTTTACAAGCATGAAAAAGTATTTAATGTCTAATATCGTTGAAACCATTAAGGTTTTAATCTAAACAAACTGCGGCGCCGCAGCGAGTGGAGCCAGGCATTTATGTTAGTTAACCGTGGATTATAACATGCCATGTTATGTTGTAATTTATTACTCACTTAGTTACAGCTGTGAAGTTGTGAGAAATTTTCTTATGTATGGAAATGGAGTATATTTGAAGTTTAAGATTTGGCCTATATATGGACCTTTCCATGAAAACTCAGCGCTTCTAATGTGTTTAAAGATACGGCAATTCTTTGTGACAGTGACTTTGGTGCCCCTAACGGGTTTTTACAAATTGTTGTTATTGAAACATTGTTATGTGATCTTAAATAACAAAATAATCAAATAATTATACGAAAAATACGAAAGTTGCGTATAATATTCACCAATCTATCTATACTAAAGTGTAAACACACATTTCTTTGTGGCGTAAGATGTCAGCAATCACAGCATGCTTTTGGATAATTCTTTTTTTTATAAAAAGCCCTACACTTAAGACACGCTTTAGGCTATCTATTTTAACGTCATTAAATTTAGGAAGCAAAAAAATTGGAAATACCGTTCATGTGGGAAAGAGACCTTAAACTACCAGCTGCCAACATTAAAGAAGCAAGGTTATAACGGTAACGTCAATTTTGACATTTGCATTTGAGAATTTGACAAACGTAAAGAATAATATAAAGTTTTGTATAATTTCGGATAAAGCCGCACGGGAACAGCTAGTTTAAGATAAATATCGGAGTAATACACTTATAAGTCGTTGATTTATTCGTGAAAATTTTTAAACAGTCACTTCATATAAAAACGTTCACAAAACATCATCTCCAACGTTTGTGGTACAAATTAACAATCAACAACAAAATGTTTAAAGGAATAACAAGAAAGGGAACAAGCTGTACTGAGACAGACTCCTTGGCTCACGACAATAAAACTCTTAAGCCCATTGCCTAGCAAGGAAGATTTACTCCAGCAACTTAATACACCGTAATATCGCTGAGTTAAGTTTATTCCACAACAGGCTTATGCGAGTGGAAAGCTATAAAGTCGCAAAGAAAGCATTCTAAGAACTATACTAAGTAAGTTAAAAACCTGAAAAACAACAAAAAGTGCAATGTAAATAGTTGTGATCAAATATTAAATTTTTAACAACTAATCGCGGACTTTATGTTCATTGAGATGTGTTTTTTACAGCTGTAAACCATGTCATACACTACTAGAGCCTATAGTAAGTAAATCAATTAATAATCTTACTTTTTACGCAATTAAAACATATTAAAGCCATCTTTAACTGATTATCACTAGGTATGTGTAAGTGGTGACTATTTTATAACTGTCGGATTGTATAGTATAGCGTTCGCTTTCTCTGTGTTACGGGTCTGATTGGCCTATCTTGCGGGCCGCGCCTGCCGTCCGAGCCTTAGTTATGATATAACAAGGAGGCAGCTAAGCCGTGGCTTACGGTAGATTTTATTAATTGACATGACATTTTTTGGCCCTTGATGGAAAATTGAGGATAAGGAATGTCTTGAGACACAAAGCTGCAAATATCTAAATTACGCAAAACTGTTGTTTACTAAAAATGTACCTTCATTTATTAAGTTTAAGGTAATATTTTATATTTATATTTATGCTAGGATAGTGGAAAAACAACTCAATGTTGTAATGACAAAAAGAAACAAAGTAATGTTATAAATATATATCAAACATAAAGAATTCGCAAAATTTAACATTTTTAATTTGCACATGTACATACATGTAACCTTTATTCTGAATAGGTTAACTTTATTCAATATTATTTGTTTATTTTACATACCTTTTATTGTATTATAATATGTATTTATAAAAGAAAAGAAAAAAAAACTCATCACAAAATTTCTTATAAATTTTCACGTCGGTTTAACAGTGGAAATATTGATAAGTCGCATAAAAAAATTCTATCTAAAATAGCGAGGCTTAAGCCATCTTCTTTAATAACTGAGACGATCCCACGAGTCATAACTCAAAGTTGATCCTCACATTGACTTAAGATGAACCTCCCCGGATGTATGCTCTCATTTGCGAGACGAAGCTCCCTAATAACCGTACCTATTTGATTTTTCTGCCACAGACTAAATTAATACGACGACTTTGATATGACGAAAAAACATTTACATTAATGATAGATAACATTCGATTACTTTTATAACCAGTGATAAGCTTATAGTTAAACAATTTTTACATTTAAAACAATTATTGTTTCAATTATATCGAGAAACTTACATCGTGTAAATGGGCTTTTAATCAACTGACTCTTTTCTTACGTACAAGGATTTATGTCTCTAAAACCTTAACAAAACGCGATTAAATTCTGCAACTTTTTAAGGCACAATCTTCCTTATGGGAGTAGTTTTTAGAATGTAACCTATATTCCACATACAATGTAAATAAACGATAAATTTTTACAACAGAAAAAGGAAATAAAGCAATATCAGTCTATGTAGGCTGCTAGAGGGACGCGCGGGCGGCCGCGGTCGGTGTAATCTCAAATCTCCCGTCGCCAATTTATTTTCATTAGCGATCATCCTCGGTTAATTTTATTCCCTACTTACCCCGCCAAGGATCGGGAGATTTCGGGAACAACAACTATGGAAAGAGCTTCTGTTATTAAAGTGATTGTTTAACATTTCTCCAAAGTTTTTAATTGAATTAATTGCTTATTTAACGACAATCTTTAATATCAATATGTATATATTGTAATACACATAAATAAGAGATTAGAAGTCTATATAAAGATAATTTTGTCCAAAAATAATTAAACAATGGTACTCTACAAACTTTCAAATGAGAAAAAACATTTCATCCTTCTTTTTTATAGTTTGTCTCTATACTAATTGTGCCACTTCCTCTCCGCCACAATGTCTGCGAGCTGCTTAATTCATTTCCATGGGATAATATTATTTTTTTACTCCCTCTCGCGTTTTGTGATGTCGATATCTCTACTTACTTTTTATTCATTGCTACGGCCGCCAATCGGGACGAGCTATTCAATTATTATCCATTTCTTTTAGTTATTATTGAATGATACGGAGCCAATCAACTTAATCGCTGCCTCATTATATTTAGACTTCTGCGTGTTAACTTACTTATAGGAGTAAGATGATTTTTAAGATAGTTTGGGCCTCAACTTGTATCTTAATAAATTTGAGAAAGATTTCTTGAGATTCGTGAATTTCAATTAGACAAATATGAGTATTACGCGTTGCTAGAATAGTTACTGATTAAATCAAACTAAAATAATTTCCAAACTATAGTTTTCTTCCTACAACATTTTAATCAGTGAGATATACTCTTACAAGCTCGTATTAAAATCTCATTGG